CCACCTCAATCCCTTATACGAATGTTTCAAAGGAACTCGGAGGGAGTAATAAGGTCCAAATAAAATTTAACAGATGCGTTAACGACCGAAAGTCGCGAGAAAACGACCTGAGGAGAGAAACTGCCGACGGCGTTGCTGCCTCATGATATTCTGTGTAGGCTTGAAGTAAGTGACTCGGAAAACTGGAAGTGGAGCACTTCTGCTGTAGTATGGCAAAACTATGGCTTTGTTATTTGTAATTTAAGATATACACCGATACTTTGAAATGTTGCACTATTTCAACATTGAAATTTGAAACAAGGTAGTAAATTCTACAAATTTATTACCTCAAACTTTTCAAAGGTTTTAATTATGAACCATTTGAAAATTCGAACGGTGTAGGATCGCTAAAAAAATTATCTACAGAAGAGGTCATTCTTAACAACAAATCACACTTGAATAAATTGTAAAAGAAAAAATGGCAAAATCTTTCTTCGCTCAGATGGAGCACAGTCATTTCAGTGCGCAGGTCATGTGATCAGAGTGAGCCTAGGGACGAAAGTAAGATTCTTAGATCTTCATTTTCTAGGTCATTCCAAAGGCATATGAAAGCAAAGAATCTTCCTGTCGTCAATAAAAAACTTTTCCCAAAAGAATTTCATTAACTTAATTCTAAAAGTAGTCGTGCCAAAGACCTCCAGCAGTTCGTTTATGGTATCCAAATCGAGCGAGTTCTTAGCTCGATCTGTTTTATGCATCTCGCGGATTTCAACACTCAGAGCCAAAAGGGTCGCCATTAGATTGACGAAAGTAACAATAAAAAATACCAACACCGTTACTTTAGATAAAATGAAAACGTAAGTGGGATATTTCTGCTTTAAGGAGTCCAGTCTAGTGTAATTTAAAAATCCTACAACCAAAGTTCTGAGAATGTAACTTACTTTCAAGGAAAAAATTACGACCCAAGATGACAGAGATTTGATAGAAATTAATAGCTTGACATATCGAAACAAGGCGACACCCAAGAGGATTATTAAAGTCCAAAATGAAGGAACATATTTGAGCTGATGTAAGATTGCCTTGTAACCAGGGAACTGTGGAACTATCCGAAGTGCAGCTATACAGATAGCCGTGAAAATACATAGGGAGGCCAGCCACGTCATTGTGATATCTTCTGAATAAGGGAAAGCTTCGTCTTTTTCGCAACGATATGCGGTGGATTGGTCCCTGAAGCAAGCAACATCACGAACCATGTACAAAAATGCTCCAATTAGTTCCCAAAGCAACAAAAAGCTGAAAGCCATTGCTAAGAGTTTTACATAAAATGGATGTCTTTGTCTTTGTCGGTCAGGGAAAAAATGCCAGTAGCAATCGGCTGATGGTTGTAACAGTGGCTGGCGTATCTCCACACAAGTTGTCATGGTAACGTCAGCACCACTTGACTATGATGAGATAAAATATAGCTGACCCTAAACTGAAACAAATTCAAAAAAATATTTTACAAAGAGTTTCCCATTATCAGCTCCACCAATAAGCGGTCAAAATATGCCACCACTTTTAACCGAGTATACGGTAATTTTTAACCTTAGTTTTTATAATTAAGAATCTAAAAAATTACAGCTGTTACGGTAAATAAAGTAACACGCCTACACTAAGTGCCTTTGCCGTAAGCTAACATAGCTTTTTATTTGTAGGACTTGTGATTGTTTATTTTAATCACTGGACAATCGTGTATGATCAC